TGGTCAAGAATCTGGACTTTCCCCGTGACATTGTCAAATATCTTAATAAAGTGGTCGAATACATTTTGGATACCTACATATGGCGTAGCAGTTCCACTATATGGCCAGTGCTCAAGGCGACCGGTCGTGCCCCTGGAGTAGAAGAGGTGATCCATCCTGATAAATTAGAGCAGGTGAATCTTTAGTCGATTTCTTTAACCATCATGCGCTTCTAAAATACTTCATTTTTCACTGTATTTATTATTTTGTGAACCTTTCAGTTCTAATCCACTGGTAGCCCTTATCTATTCGATTCAACTGCCATTCTTAAGGATTACGATTTTCCATCTTGAAAATTCACACTTCAGATGAAAACTGATCTTTAGGATATAATTATTATAAGAATGGATCTCACCTCATCATTTTTCTTTTAGGTTTGGGCTTAGTCATACTAATAGCTTTCTTATTACTTAGGTTGTAAATTCTTCCATTGTGGGCTCCAGACTTAGTTTATGCTTGCTTGGTGATAATAACTTTCTTATATTTACTTTTTTTCCTTGTGATAGTCATTCTTTCATTTTGACAGTCTCGGATTTACACAAGCTGACTAATATCTTACAAGTTTGAGCCATTCCGTAGTCCTCATCATTCAGGATGCTCTAGTTCTTATACCTCGATAAAGAGCTTTTAAGCATTTACATAAATTTAGCGAATATCGTGATAGCCTGCTTATGGAAATAAACTACTTTCTTATATTTTATCGCGTTTTTATTTTCGATCTAATTGCTCACCTATGTCTATTTCTGCTAAATTCTCTGGTATCAGTCTTCTGATGTGCTGACTCGCTCCATCCTGCTCTCAGACCCAACGACCGGAGCTGTTATCATTAAATCAGAAAATCTCACCCCTGGGCAAGGTGGCACTAGCCTTGCTGCCTCAATGCTCTCCGGATCTCTGACTGGAGTCAGGCATCAGCAGCAGCATCTTATCTCTCTTGGTGGTTTGGCTAATCTGAGGCGTAGTTCTCGACACGCTGGGGCAGCCGGAAGCACTGTTACTGAAACTGACTCCGTGGTTGGACATCTTGTATCCGGTGAGGATGAATCGGCTCTTGCAGCGGCCCAGCTGCTCGCCGACCCAGAGACTGGCCTTGGCCGTTCAGGACGCCTAGGAAAGGATAGCCTATCTCGTGGTGATGGAGGCCGACGGCCACTAGGTGCTGAGACTCCGATGCCAGGTGGCGTGGGCGACACTCCGATGGGTCAATCAGACATGGGCTGTTGCACCTCGGCCTCCCTTGGGCCTGGGCTCGAAGAGGAATCTACAGTGGTATCAGGTACAGCAGCCGTCGCCAGTTCTTCTGAACTACAGGACCACACCGAATTGGGTGAAACTCCGCGACCGCGTTCTGGCCATGGAGCCAGTGATCTTTTGTTATCAAATGATGGTGGCGGTGCTGGTGTTGAAGGTCAGATGATGCAACTGGGCGCGGCTGGGGAAGAGGTAGAAGAAGGTGAAGAAGACGATGCGACGACTGGCTATCCATACTCCTTAGTCACGGCTCCTGCGACTGCCTGGATGCCCGGGTGTTACCCCGTCAGACACGACTCTATTGCAATCATTTTTCGGCAGATATATCAGGTAATGGATGTCCGAGTCTTGCCAGGCCATCGAGATTGGCAATTACTATAGATAACCTGATAAACGGATAGATGTATGGGGGTATTTTATTCCACGATGGTACAGATCACTTAATAGATTTGGGCCCATGCGGTTTTGGATTTCCTCTCTTCCCGTTACTTCGGAATTTTTACGACTAGCCCCACTTAGTTTACTTGGGCTGGATCAAATGTCAAGTTTATCAGCACACTATAAAATGAACATCGTCTAATCCATGTATATAAATTATTTGCTTACTTATGTAGACCTTCAATTATATTATTATAATAATTCTTTTTAGTCGTCTCGTCGCCGTCGTTGTATTTATCCATCAGTATATTTCATTTCAGCTAGATGAGAGTTATTATCATTCTGTTATTTTAACGGTCGGTGTTCAATTTTCCTCATTCTTTTATGAAAATTTTGATTTTATTAGTCGTACACAAGATGTTCCAAGACGGCTCACTCAGCTATAAATGAATTATTTTTTTGTAATAATACAGTCAATAGGATCTAATTAAATCTTTATATGTGGGTCAGATGTTAAAAGCTTATGGCTCTATTTGGCTCTCTATTTTTAATTTATTTTTGTCGGATATGTTTCGAGTTTTTACATAAAAATTACTTCTGTTATACTTTTCCGTCTGAGTCTCGAAACTCTAACTATGAAAAATGAGTCTTATTAACACAAGGCACTTTCTTTTCTACTAGAGTCTAATAAAGGAACTCTGACTTTCCGTATTTCCTACAAAATGTCCCTTTTATCATCTTGACTTAAGATTATGAGCCTTCGCCTTCATGATCTTTGCGAGCGACTCGCTCCCTTTACTGGCCTCTCCACCACGATTGGATCAGGGCCTGGAGGTGGGAGTGGCTCCGGTGGTAGTGCTGCGGCTGGAGGTGGAACACTTGGACCTGCTAATACTCCAACGACGGGGTTGCAGCGTGAGTTAATGCAACGCGTGTGGACCTGCTTTGAGCACGTGATCGTCACTCGAACAGGCCTCTTGCGCGACCGCTGCCTCGATCAGATTTTGCTTTGTTGTCTATTTGGCGTCGCTAGAATTGTCTGTTTCCGTCCACTTTCTATGGTTGACATCATTCAGGTTGGTGACTTCTCATCATCTCTGTAAACCTTTTTTCCAATTATTCATACGATCCATTCTATATTATTTTTCTAATCTTTATTGTATTAGTCTTTTCCATACAACTAGTAGAGACTTTCCAACAATTCTGGTGACGCCACTACCACGTAATCCCTCCTCATTTAGTCCAGGAATATACATAAATACTGGTCTAATTGTTGAGCCCACAACAGAAACTGGATATGAGTTTGAATAGTTCCGAACTTGTCGTTTCCCTGAATATGGGATGTCTGCATTTATGCGTAAAATTGGAGGCCATCGAAATCAACAGATTGGGAATTACACTAAATATAAGCGATACCAGTAAAAAGTTAAGTAAGCATTGCTCATAATAATTGTCTGACCCTGTTTTCGCAACTTAGTCGTATTGTCGGGGTGTGCTAAAGGAAGGTACCTTGTCCAGAGCCCATAGTTACGAAATAAAGGGCAAAGAACGAAAGGTATAACTAAAGTAGACCGCGAACATACAAAAAGCCACATCTTAGTATTCATACTTTATGCTTGATTATAAATTCAAGGTTATAATTACGGCCACTTGATATACGCTTTAGTACACTTTTTCTCTTTCACATTCAAACAAAAAGCTCATCAATTTAATCAGAAGTGTGTTCGATATTACGCACTCAGAGTTTTTGTTGAATATATTAAAAGTGGGTGATAGTGATCATTAAAACTTGATGACCAAGGACGGATGTTAAGTTCTTTTATAATTGTTTTGGACTATCACATATGGTTTGGTGCACATACACATGCTTCTAGATTGACTTCTAGCCTGAATCAACCAAATCACTTTATACGTAATCAAAACGCTTAAATACGGGGTATATATATATATATATATATATCATTTATGGATAAGCCGACTAGTTTTCCTAATTCGCTTGGATACGGTTTTAAGAATAATACTTTGCTCTGAGGATGCCTTTCATACGATAGACTTACTTACCAGAGCCGAGGGAGTTTGTATTGAGGAAAGCTTCAGTAGAAGTGTTCCAGTAAAGAGGAATTCATACTTGTATTGTGGTAGGATCAACCTTTGAATCTCTTCTTGACGCACATTCGGAATGGGTGTTCAACACTTATAAACCGTGATATTTCTCAAGACCCAACAAATAATCGTTCAACCATATTAAATAACTAAGATTTTCAAAGTGTACTACTTCTTTTGTGGTATATTTTCCTGCTGTAAATTTCCACATTGGATAGAACCATTACAAGGTCATTATTCTGTCAATTGAGGCGCCAGACTCTTATTTATGAAAACATTTGATGGTTTAAGAAATACAAGGGTCCATTTTTGTTGGTAATAAACTACACTGTTCTTTTAATCAATTTATTGGTACAGTTTAGTCTATATATGTCTTGAACATCTTTGTTATGTAGAGCCAGAATAATTTCATAGTTATACACTTCATTATATTAATTTAGGCATATCGGGTTCAGTCGCAAGCGCACCGTGACATCTATCGTCGCGTCCTTATTGACCGTGTGCCCGTGTCCAGCGTTAAGGCAGAATCGGTTCTGCTTGCTCGCAAAGCAGCCTCAGCTAGCGGGCTAATTGAGGAGCGCGGTGATCTGGCCCGCTTTTATAATCTTGTCTTCTTACCAAACATGCGTGAAACACTTGCTAGGCTTTATTCGCCCCAACTAGCGGCTGCGGCTATTGCTGCAGGCCAAATGGCGGCATCTGCAGCACCTCGGGCACCTGGGTCACTTGTTGGTAAAGGATTAGGGGGCTCTGGGCCTGCGGCATCTGCTTCAGGAGTTTCAGGAGCAGCAAATTCGGCGGCTGCCATACCACCCACTTCAGTCGCTGGTGGTGACCATCATCCTCTGCCAATGACACCGCTGCCACGTTCCTACGCCGGTTCTCATGTATCCCTGGCTAGTGGGGCTGGCAGTAAAGCTGGTCATGGCCAGCATGGGTCTGGGCCTTCCGGTGGCCAAAACGCGATGACAAGCTCCTTTCACACCTTAAGCCATTCGCATCATACGCATCATATGCATCATTCACACCATCAACACCATGTTGGAGCCTCCGGTCCTGGTGGCATTGGCTTATCTGGACTTACCAATTCACTTCCAGGTGGAGACGGATATGTACCCGCCAGGTAAGGGGATACTTTTAACATGAGTAATATATCATTCTTAAAGCATAATGCCCTCAAAATGTTGTCTTTACGTCTAAACTTGGCGATTCTAAAATGTAAGTAGTTTAGAACACAGTTGTATACCCTCTAGACTTTTATAACCAATAATTTTTTTCATTTATTTTATTTTAACATTGAAAAAACAAATCACTTAATTGTAAATTAAATTTCCTTAAAGTGATTTTAAGGCTATCTGGAGAGATCTTTCCTACCAGGACCAAGAATCCAATTTTTGTGATATTTCCACTATTTTGACATAAATCCCAAATGCTCCTTCCTACATGCTGCTGCCGTCATAAATGGTCTTGCTCCCCACACTCTAAACCATGTGCGATTTGCCGATTATCACCTATCCAAATATTATCTACTAGTTTACCTATTGCTGTAGTCTCATATATAAGAGAATGCTTGGTGTCTGCGCTGGAGAGTATGACGTTATGTATTTGATACTGGCATACCTTTCATTTCGTCTGAGAAGCTCTTTCTTCGTGATTTTATCGTGAACACTGGTTTCTGGCTCTGACGATGTCCGTCACATGACGGACGAAAGCTCAGCACGGAGTTATCGGGGTCGTTGGACGGTGGGCCCAGGTCTTCTTCACACATTTTAACAGACAAAAATCCAAGGCAACCCTTCTGTATCTGGTGCGGCCAAACCACGAATCCCTTTCACCCGCCTTCTCAAACGAAATGAAAGCTATGCCTGTATCAATCTACTAAGGAATTCTTCGAAATGTGTTTGTTTGATGTAATGATAAAGTAAGCTAAAAGGGCGACTTCATAATACCTTAATAAGACACACTACCAGTCTTGTTTGGACTAGGCATTCAAGAAAGTTGGGAAGCTTAGGCATTCTCATCTTACTACACTAGAGGATTTATCATTCAAACGACACAAACCCTTCCTTGGATGGTTAA